TCGTGACCTCATTATTTTGCAGCTTTTTGGACCTTGTTTATATGTCTCTATTGTTTGACTTGAGGTATATTATTCTTTATTTTATCCCTCTATTTATCTTAGAGTTATTTTTCTGTCACGGGTGCCCTAGTATTGTTGATGATATGGCTACTACTGAGGGACTAAAGATCTCTACTGTTGACACATCTACCGTTGAGACCTCTACTGTTGAAACATCTATTAGTACTTTTACTTTTATGTTTGACTGGTATACAGTACCTGCTGACACAGTTACATTACCAGCAATGTCGAGCATGATCTCTAAGAAAGTTACGACACAGTTGTTAAATGACCGTAACTTTGCTGAGTAGTCTCGCACATTCCAACTTTTCTTAAGCCATGTAGGAAAATTTGGTTGGCTGACAGAATCTCACCTAAAACCAGTTGATGACGACCATGGATATTCTGCATAATTCTCTGAGAACTATGTCATTCTTGGATGGTTATTTGGCTCGACTGAGCCACGTGTTTACAGGATTCACCAGTTTCATAGCCTTATTCAGAAGCTTTGAAGTGCATTATTAGAGATGTATTCTTAGACAAGACGAAGAGTTCGTGTTTATGAGCTTTCTCAAGAACTTTCATATGTTCGGTAGAGAAATATGACCGTTCAGGATTATTATAACTATTTAACTCAGCGCTAATTTAAGTATGAGACTCTACGTCCTCTTACTACTATTCTGAGAATAGTGCCCAGGGGAGCAACATTCTTGCATACTCAAAAGCAAGAGGATAGGATTAACAAGTTTCTTATACGACTTCGTGATGAGTTTAAGGAGCCTCGTTCCCAGCTCTTTGTCAATGTTGAGGTTTCCTTCTCTTTATGAAGTGTATACAATGATTAAACAGCATGAGCACTGCATCCGTATTACATCACTTCCAGTTGCGGCCTTGACTCTTCCAGCTAACCAGATGGCCCTAGCAGTTGCTATAGGATCTCATTCAAGATCCTCAATCAGGGGTGGGCAACGCTCGGGCCAACGCTGTCAAGGTGCCCCAAATCAGCATAGACTGGAAGATTCTCGTTAGTGTAATTATTGTGGCCAACTAGGACATCTCAGGGCTGCTTGCTGAAAGCTCCATCCGGAGCTTAAGCCACCTCCTCGTGGACGTACTACTGCTATTGCTGAGGTACCACCACCTACTGCCACTACTTCTACTACTGCTCCTCCTTGGCAGAATAATATGGACGCTATCACTTCCCGATTGGATATACTTATGTCTATTGTGATTTCTCAAGGTTCGACTAGTGCTACTGTCACCACTACTGGTATACCTCATGCTTTTCATGATTGCGTCAGTCCATCTCCCCTTTAGATGCTGAACTTAGGTGTGAATGGTCATATAACAGGTGAGGCCCATCACTTCACCACTTTTGATGAGCAATTACATACACAGGTTCAGCTAGCAGATGGGGCACATGTCCTTATTATTAGTAGGGGTACAGTCCACCTCCCAGATGAATTTACATTATATTTAATTTTTCATGCGCCAAAGCTGGTCATGAATCTATTATATGTACATCAGTTAGCCAAAAACAGTTGAATTTTTATCTGATTCGTGTTATTTACAGGACCTGAGTACCAGGAGGATTATTATCAGGGGACATGAGAGAGATGGACTATATTATCTAGGTAATCTACCTCTAGTTTCACCAGTTTCTTCACCTCCATCACCTGCACCTGCTTATCTGTTCCTAGCTTGCACACTTGTATTTTACCTAGTACTTGTTATAATTTTTCATCACAAACTGTTAAGTTGTGACATGACCGCTTTAGGCATACAAATTTTAAATATTTATATGTTATTTCTAGCTTTGAGCAATGCTTGTGTTGGTGGTAAACTTGATTACGTTATATATTCCTTATCGAAACATGTTCGAACCAGTTATATTCCTTGCATACACCAGTCACCTAAACCATTTGACCTAGTACACTCTGATATTTTTAAACCCTTTCATATTACTACTCTAGCAAGTGTTCGATATTATGTGACATTTATAAATGATCATTCTCGTTAAACTTGGGTTTACCATTTGCATAGGAAGTCTAATGTACTCCCTGTCATCACTCCGTTTCTCCAGATGATTAAGACGTAATTCGATGTTATTGTTCGTGCTCTTCGTTCGGATAATGCCAAAGAATATGTGTCTGATGTCTTAGTGTCTTACCTTTCTTCTTAGGGTATCCTTTAACAACTCACTTGTCCATATACTCCTGAACAAAATAGAGTTACTGAAAGAAAAAATAGAAGTCTGATAGAGATGATACGTTGTATGTTAAGAGGTATGGGGGTACCAGAATCATATTAGCATTTTGCTGTTTTAACTTCTACATTTTTGTGCAATCATACATCGAATCGTGTTCTTCAGCATAGGGCTCCCTTACGGGTCTTATTTCCTGAGCAGACACTTTTTTCGGTCCTCCCTCGTGTTTTGGGCTACACATGTTTTGTTCAGGATCGGTCTTCTACTCGCCATAAACTTGATGATAAAACGATTCGTTGTGTCTTTGTGGGCTATTGTCATCAGTCTAAGGGGTATCAGTGTTATGATCCTATCAAGCGTCGTATGTATCATAGTCTAGATGTTACATTTCTTGAACATATTCCTTATTTTTCTTTCAGTCATGTGTCTATCCCTCAAGTTGATGATACTCTCTCTGATTTTATGTTACCACAAAGTCAATATCACTATAAAGTCATCAATCTCTCATCCTCCAGAGCCACTCGTTTCTGTAGTACAGAATCACCAGTCTCTCTTCTTTTGCAGGTTTATATTCGTCGCTCTCGCTCTTGCTCTCATCTCCTACTGATGTCCCCTCTACCACAAGCGATACAAGTAATATTTCTCAGTTCGTTAAACATATTGATACACCTATTGTTAGTATTGATGAAATTGTAGGTACTGAGACAGTTACTTTACCTAATGAGACATTATCCATAGAGGATGATGATTTAGGGCGTTGTTATCCGCAACATGATCGTCGTCCAGTTGTTCATTATGGTTGGACCGCCAGAATTTATATCTGATCTCTGCTTATGTTTCTTATAGTGATCTGTCTCCTATATTTCAAGCTTATAATTTGGCCTTATCAGATACGTCAGTTCCTCGCTCTGTTAAGAGACTATACGGGAGCCCCAATGGATTCTTGCCATGTAAACGGAGATAGACACTTTTTAGGGGGGAAGCCTGTTGGCTGTCGCTGAGTTTACACCCTAAAGTTTCTTGCCGATGGTACTATTGATTGTTACAAGACTAGGCTTGTGGCGAAGGGTTTTACTCAAGTACCAGGTCGTGATTTTGATACTACTTTTGCCCCCGTGGCAAAATTGACTACTGTTCGATTGATTGTTTCTCTAGTTGTGGAGTACTATTGGCCTCTTCATCAATTAGATGTGAAGAATACGTTTCTTCACGATGATCTAGACGAAATTATTTATATGGATGCACCACTGGACTTTCGTGGTGAGGGGGAGTATGCTGAAAAGGTATGTCGACTACGTAAGTCTCTTTGTGGACTGAAACAATCACCACAAGCCTAGTTCTCTCGCTTTAGTGGTGCAGTTGTACGTTTAGAGTTTACTAGATGTCATTCTGATCATACCTGTTTCATTCGACAGAATACTTCTAGACAGTGTGTCATTCTTTTGGTATATGTGGATGATATTATTATTAGTGGAGATGATGTTCAGGGATTGCGCAGATCAAGGTAGACCTTGGGAAGGCCTTTGATGCAAAGAACCTTGAATTACTATGATATTTTCTTTGGATTAAGGTTGCTCGAAGTAGCAAGAGTATTGCTCTTTCTCAAAGAAAGTATGTTCTGGATCTTCTCTCAGACACTGGGATGCTAAGATACAAACTGACATCATCACCCATGATTCCAAACCTAAAGCTTACTGTTGAAAGTGAGGAGTTGAGAGATCCAACTATCTATCAAAGATTGGTAGGTAGACTTATCTACCTAGCCAACACTAGGCCAGACATTTCATTCGTTGTCAACCAAGTTAGTCAGTTTATGCACAGACCGTATCAACCTTATCTTGATCCAGTTTATCATATTCTTCGATACCTCAAGTCTTGTCCTGAACTTGAGTTATTCTATGAAGCAGGATCTCAGATTGATTCTCTAGCCAGTTATTCAGATTCAAATTACGGGGGAGCGTGTGACAATTGATCTACTACGAACTTTTGTGCTTTTCGAGAGACTCATCTTTTGGAAGAGCAAAAAGCAGTCAATTGTTTCTCGCTCATCAACAGAGACAGAGTATGAGGCATTAGCACTTGACACGTGAGATTATCTAGCTACGATTGATTCTTAGCGATTTGAATTTTCCAGTGACTTTTTCATCTATATTATATTGTGATAATCAATCTGCTATTCAGCTCACTTCTTAATCTGTACTACACAAGAGGATAAAGCATATAAAGATCGATGTTCACTTTCTTCGAAAGAAAGTTAGTTGTGGTATTGTCACTCCATTGTTTGTAGAGACCAGTGATCTGGTTACGAATGTTTTCATCAAACCTGTCACTCTCTCCATTCTCCGGAACTCCGTTGTCAAACTTGACTTAGTTGATATTTTTGCGCCTAGCTTGAGGGAGAATGTTGGAGTATAGTCTAATTTATTAGGGTTTTTTCTAGTTTATTTTTTTTCTTTTTTATCCTTACTATGACTTTTATATTTTACCTAGACCACAAGGATGTTTAGGTAACTTTGTACTATTATTTGGCTATATATACAAGGCTTTACTCTTAGTCTCAATATCCCTTTTCACTCACTATTATTTCAAGTCTTCCTAATCAACCTTACATTTTTCCTACTTTTCAAAATCTGCAGCGGCCAACTACAGATTCTATCCCTACTCCACACACGTCTGGTCTGTGGTTGCAACTAATAAAATTGCTTCAAAAAAAGATGTTGAATTAGAGGAAAGAACTGCTCGGGAAATAGTTCCAATGCCTACTACAACTTCGAAGCACAAGCCTGAAGAGCCTTCACCAAGGGCCTCCCTACATATGCTGCTGTTTTCAAGAAGCAACTTCCGGCAATTCAAGGGTCAGATCCCCCCAGATCTGCTGTCCTGAAACCTGTAAAGAAAGTGGTTTTGAATCAAGGGGTAACAAATGTAACATGGACGAAAGAGGAGATGGTTGAATCATATAAACCTTTAGAGATGGCAATCATTGGTAAGTGTTCCTATGGCCGCCCTTTTTTTAGTAGTATCCGAGAGTATATCAGTTCCAAATGGGCTTTCAATGCATTTTGTTCCTATGGGAACATTAGATCCTGGCCACGTTCTTCAACGGTTTAATCATTATGAGGACTTTATCAAAGTTTTAATGAGGGAAGCTACATACATTAATGGTCATCTCTTTCATTTTTTTCAAATGGTTTCCAGATTTCGAATTGGGAATTGAACCCTCAGTTACACCAATGTGGCTATCCTTACCTGCCTTACCTCTAAATCATTTTCAGAAAGTGTATTTGGAGGAACTCTTGAGTCCCACAGGTAAAGTTTTGGCTATTGATGGATCCATTGCTTCGTTGTCATGCCCAAGTGTTGCAAGAGTGTCTGTGTTAATCAATTTGCTGAAGGATAATCCTGATAAAATATGGTTAGATAGGGACGGTTCAAAGGGTCGTTGGCAGAAAATTGTCCATGAAAGGGATCAAAGTTTTTGTAAGATTTGTTCAAAGCAAGGGCATGACGATATGGAATGCAGGAAGAAGAGGCAAAAAGGTTCAGGGGTTGTGGACAGTGATTTAGGTAATGAGCAGCCACAGGTGGAGTCCCAACAGGGTATCTCAAACACCAATGAGCAGGCCAAGGTTGGTACTCAACAGAAAAAACACAATTTGGGTGTTCAAAAGAAGATTTTTAAGAGGAAAGAAGAGAAGGGGAAGGGAAAGATGTGAGAATTCACAGTGACGGGGATGGGAGAGTCCAAGGATTTAATGGAACGGAAAGATTCTCATGCTTCGTACCAAATGGAGAAAGCAAATAATCAAAACACTACTCATGTAACATCTACTGCTGGAAACGATTCAGAGAGTAATTTGAACTCTCGTGAATTGGAGGGGGAGACNAACAAAACAATACTCATGTAACATCAACTGCTGGAAACGATTCAGAGAGTAATTTGAACTCTCGTGAATTGGAGGGGGAGACCTCAGTGCAGGTTTATTCTCATAGTACTGAGATAGGCAGTGTGGAAAAGGATGGAAATGTTAGAGGAAACGCATTGGAGGTAGTTGGTTCATCTGCTGTCCATACTCTTCAAACTAAGGGTACACAATGAAAAATAAATAGTGGTAATAGAGGCTGTTCACTTGAGTCCCGAAGGAGGGGAGAGGAACACGTCAAGGAGGTTAAGTGCTCTCCAACTGCACATACTTCTACACCCAAGGACACAATGGAGTTAAATTCTGTGGAGAGGATCTCAATGGCAAAGGTGGGAAATAAACATCTATCTGAGGAAATTTAAAAGGGGAGACAAACATTATCTGTTTTAGAGTCTAATAATATTGTTAGCTATTCTGAGTTTTGAGGAAATTATAAGTGAAGGAGAGGCTTCTGATTATATTGGAAGTGAGGCATTGGAGAACGATTCTGATAATGAAGATCAGGCCACAAAGCTCGAAGCAGAGGTACTTAGGAATGCATCGAGGGTTAGATTCTCATCCTATTCCTCAGAAGTTGCTGAAGGAAATCCATANAGGTATGCAAAGCTCAAAGCAGAGGTACTTAGGAATGCATCGAGGGTTAGATTCTCATCCTATTCCTCAGAAGTTGTTGAAGGAAATCCATAGGCGATCGAAAGAGACTGCAACTCTTGAAATCTTATGACAAAGGTGTTAGATATGATCCAAGAAACAAGAAAGATATAGAATTTTATTAAGGCAGAGCCTGTTCCAGAACATAAAACCAAACATACATACTAGAGACCCCTTATATAGCAGGGCAACATAAGAGAATTTTATTATCATTGCTTAAAGATGTTTGTTAATTAATTGATATTCACAGCTGTGTTGTGGGGTGCATACGGGTCTACAACTCCGAATTTGCAAAACTTTGCAAAAAAAAGTTCTAAGCCTTACTTGTAGTACATCCAGCTATGAGCGAAATTGGAGTGTGTTTGAGCATGTAAGTATCACCCTCAAATCTCTTCAATTCCATTTTTTTAATCTCATCATAAATTTTAATGTATTGTTAATAAACTATTGCGGATTCACACCAAAAAAAGAATAGACTAGAGCAATCCCATCTCAATGATTTAGTGTTTGTTAAGTATAATAGAGCTTTGAGACGCCGATACGAATCCCATGACACAATTGATCTAATAACTTTAAAGGATATTGATGATAACAATGAGTGGTTGTTCAGGAGAATGGATGGAGAATCAGATAAAGATAATGAGCTCGTGTTTGGTGATGATACTTTGACTTGGGGTGATGTTGCTCGAACTTCCAGAGTTGGGAAAAGTAGTCAACGGACTAGATAAACACCATCTTGTAGGGTAACACCGAGGTTTATAAGATCGTCGACTAAACTTATAGAAGAGGAAATGACAATTGCAGATGAGGCAGAGGAGGAGAATACATTACGGATATGAATCTAAGGATAATAAAGATGATGGTTTCTTTAATGATAAGGATTGATTTCTAGGTCCTTGAGATTTGTGGAGCATAGACTAAATGTTTTGTTGCTTGAATTATGTGTCTTATGTTTTAAACATTAGTATTTGGGATATTATTAGAATTTGTTTGAATTTAAATGTTTATAGTTTTGCTTGCATTTAAATACTTAGTATTTGTAAAATTAGAATTTGGATATTTAGAAGTAATTAAACTAAAATATTTTTTTTTTTTTACTGTTTGCTTCACTACGATGAAGCGGTTTCACTTTGCCTCTCACTTCTCACCTAAGCGTTACGAGCTTTGGTCGCTTCGTTTTGCTTTACGCCTTAAATAACACTAAACTATATTATAAAACATCATCATAACAGTTCTATTGAATATTGAAAGGCACGATTGGTTGCTAAGGGTTAGACCTAAATATATGGTGTAAATTATTATAAGACTTTCTCCCTTGTTGCTCGTCCTAACTCTGTTAGAATTCTTATTTTTATTGCAGTTAGTTATAACTAACCCTTATATAAACTAGTCAAAAACAATATATTCTTACACGGAGATCTATGTAATACCCCGTTCCATTTTGGCAAAGAACTAGTTAGTGAATATTATCTTAGAAAGAATAAAAAAAATTTTAAAGAAGAATTTAGAATAATCTAGAAGAATCTAGAATGTTGGAGAAGATTCTAAAAAGTTCAAGAATATCCTAGAATAGTCTAAAACAATGTAAAATGTTGAAGAAAGATCTAGAAGGTTCTAGAACATCGAGGAACCTAGAGCATTCCAGAAGTATCCGGAAGGTTTTAGAGAGATAAAGAGTACTCATCAATGTCCTAGATTAGTATGGAGACTTCTAGAGATGTGGAGGACTGACCATTGTATAAATATCTACAATTGGAACCTAGAAAGTTCCAAATAAGAAAGTGAAGGGAGAATCTAGAAAAGTTCCCCACACCAAGGAAATAATAACACATGTCCACATTCTAGAATATTCCTAGGAGTCCTGAAAGCCTATAAATAAGGGACTTGGTTATTGAATTAGGAGAAAAACACATTGGTGACCTCCCACTAGAGAGAGAGAAGGAAGGTTGGATACTTCATATAAGAAACGAAACCGTAAAAGAACAATGTAAGGGATCGGCAACTTCTCAATCAACATCGGATGACAAATCATTTCTTTTGGACTTGAAGTGAGTGGTTTAACATGCTACGTATTTTTTCATATCCCTAACATTTTAAAAATGATACATAATACTTGTTTATTATTACCTATACAAATGTTTTACTAAGTGTCTAAATACTTGTGGCATACAATTCCCCTTACATAGATGAATTCTTCTGTGAAATATTGTGACTCAATCACTTGTTTATATGGTAAGACTTAGTGATGGTGAATGGGACCAAAATTAAAAGTTCAGGGAAATTATTCCTCTGTGAGCGGGTGACTCTGGCCACTAGGGAACAGACCCAGGGAGGCTGAGGTGACCCTAGTGCTCAACGGTTGAAGGAACAGTGTCTGGTGTATCCTGGGGACCTTCACCGGATCGCCTTAGAGAATAGACTCGGGGGAGGCTGTGGTGACCCTAAGTACGATGTTGGATCCAACCCTGAGATATATTTTGGCATTTGGTTAAAAATCTAGAAAAATTATTCCTTTGTGTGCGGGTGACCCTGGCCACTAGGGAACAAACCCGGGGGAGGCTGAGGCGACTCTAGTGCTCAACAGTTGAAGGAACAATGTCTGGTGCGTCTTGGTAACCTTCACCGGATCGTCTTAGGCAATAGTTCCCGGGTGGCAACCCATGGTGACCCTAAGTATGAATGTTGGATCCAACCTTCAGATCTTCTGGCATTTGGTATGGTTCCCAGATATCGTACAAGTCCTTACCAGTATGAGATGATGATATAATTTGTTATTGTCATAACATTTTTACTGGCTTTGTTTATGATTATCTATCATATACCATACATATTTTCTTGTTGTCAGTTATTGTATTTGGTATTCGGTTCACATCGATTATTGGATATCATACGGTCTCCACCATTATGATATGATTCACCATTGTGATATGATTTCTTGTTAGAATCCGATTGTGTTATTCTCGAGAAATTGGTTATCTTAATGAAGTTATTTTTTCAAACTTTTGATTTATATGTCGTATGCTAAATATGTTTTTCAGCCACTTTGAATTTGCATGTCTTTCCATTCACTGGGCTTTTTAGCTCATGTTTTCAAAATAATATTTTTTTTAAGTAAACGATTAGAGTGTCAATAGCGGACTCAGGGAATTGATTAGGGACTAATAGTGTTGTGACCTCCGTAGCATATATCGTATAGCCATCTTTACTTGTTTGGATAATTGTGGCAAACAGGTTTAGGTATGTTGACTTGACATATTGACATGAGATCAATTTAGTGTTAATGTTGTTTCCACTCCAATATTATTAGTTTATTGTTAGACTTACGTGTTCTATAGGTTATGGATCTATGGTTCACGGCCGATCATGTCCTTGGAGTTGGGGTGTGACAATCTACATGAGGTATATATGATTCAACTTTCATGTTATGTCGATTCAGAACGTGAACAATTACGGTGTCATTTTGAAGAAAGTACAGTATGGCTTGAAACAGCCACATGTTTGGTTTGACAAGTTCAACACAATGGCACTTTAGTTTGGTTTTTAGCGCTCTACCTCAAGTCATTCAGATTTCATTCGTTGGCCTTTTATAGACATTATTGTTATGGTGTATGTCGATGACATTATCATTAGTGATAATGACTCAGATGGTATGGCTCACTTCAATGCCTACTTGGGGAAGGAATTTCATACTAAAAATTTAGGTCTTCTTCAATATTTCATAGGGATTAAGGTTACTTGATAAAAAAAGGGTATCAATATATGCTAACGAAGTATGTACTCGACTTACTATCTAAAACTGATACTCTTGATGTGTATCCAATTTATACGCCTATGGACTCCACATTTAAGTTAGATCTTGAGAGTGGCGAAGTCTTTTGATGATATAAGGCCTTATCGGAGGTCAATAGGTAAACTGATTTATATTGCAGTTGCTTGTCACGATATTTTATATGTCGTTGGTGTGGTTAGTAAGTTCATGCACACCTTTCATAAGCTTCATTGGGAGGTTGTTTGTCGTATACTTCAATATCTGAAAGACACCCTTGAGAAAGGATTATTATATCGTCAATCATCATCCATAACTGTTGTTGATTTTTCTAAAGTTGACTAGACAAGTAATCATGGTAATTCTGACTATTATAAATTTATTGGTCGTAATTTTGTTACTTAGCGCAATAAAAAACAGAACATGGTTACATTTTCTAGTGCAAAGGCTAAGTATCGTGCTATGACATTTACTGCTTGTGCAATTTTATGGGTTCATTCTTTACTTCGGACTTGATGTGTCTTCTCCTATGAAGATACATTGTGACAACCAAACAGCTATCTTCATCGCAAGTAATTTGATATTTCATGGGCGTATCAAACATATTGAGGTGGATTGTCATTTTATTTGAGATCAATAGATACGAAAGGTGATCATCACTCCATTTATAAAGTCTAGTGATCAGTTGGGTGACATTCTGACTAAGCCATTAGTTCGACCTGTCTTTAATAGTTTATATTCAAAGCTGAACATTTTTTATCGTTATTGTCCCGCTTGAGGGGGAATGTTAGAGTTCTTATTTTCTATATTATACATTAGCTAATTAGTGTAGGGTAATATTATAATTAGTGCATATTACTTAGTTAGAAATAAGAGAGTGTAGTGCAACCTACCCTACATTACTAATTATGTATATCTTCTTTGCCTCTTCTCCTTCTCTCTTCCCTTTTTTCCTAACCCTAATATTATTATTTACTATTTCAACTGATCTAATTTTCTATTCCAAAAAAGATTTGTAAATTATAGAACATTATATTTGTGGGAATTGGTCATGTTATTGTGGTAATAAGCACTCTGAATTATATGAAGTTGGGTTAGGGTGTTACAACAAAGTGAGCCAACAACTNCTCATCGATTATTGGATATCATACGGTCTCCACCATTATGATATGATTCACCATTGTGATATGATTTCTTGTTAGAATCCGATTGTGTTATTCTCGAGAAATTGGTTATCTTAATGAAGTTATTTTTTCAAACTTTTGATTTATATGTCGTATGCTAAATATGTTTTTCAGCCACTTTGAATTTGCATGTCTTTCCATTCACTGGGCTTTTTAGCTCATGTTTTCAAAATAATATTTTTTTTAAGTAAACGATTAGAGTGTCAATAGCGGACTCAGGGAATTGATTAGGGACTAATAGTGTTGTGACCTCCGTAGCATATATCGTATAGCCATCTTTACTTGTTTGGATAATTGTGGCAAACAGGTTTAGGTATGTTGACTTGACATATTGACATGAGATCAATTTAGTGTTAATGTTGTTTCCACTCCAATATTATTAGTTTATTGTTAGACTTACGTGTTCTATAGGTTATGGATCTATGGTTCACGGCCGATCATGTCCTTGGAGTTGGGGTGTGACAATCTACATGAGGTATATATGATTCAACTTTCATGTTATGTCGATTCAGAACGTGAACAATTACGNGATCATGTCCTTGGAGTTGGGGTGCGACAATCTACACGAGGTATATATGATTCAACTTTCATGTTATGTCGATTCAGAACGTGAACAATTACGGTGTCATTTTGAAGAAAGTACAGTATGGCTTGAAACAGCCACATGTTTGGTTTGACAAGTTCAACACAATGGCACTTTAGTTTGGTTTTTAGCGCTCTACCTCAAGTCATTCAAATTTCATTCGTTGGCCTTTTATAGACATTATTGTTATGGTGTATGTCGATGACATTATCATTAGTGATAATGACTCAGATGGTATGGCTCACTTCAATGCCTACTTGGGGAAGGAATTTCATACTAAAAATTTAGGTCTTCTTCAATATTTCATAGNACTTTAGTTTGGTTTTTAGCGCTCTACCTCAAGTCATTCAGATTTCATTCGTTGGCCTTTTATAGACATTATTGTTATTGTGTATGTCGATGACATTATCATTAGTGATAATGACTCAGATGGTATGGCTCACTTCAATGCCTACTTGGGGAAGGAATTTCATACTAAAAATTTAGGTCTTCTTCAATATTTCATAGGGATTAAGGTTACTTGATAAAAAAAGGGTATCAATATATGCTAACGAAGTATGTACTCGACTTACTATCTAAAACTGATACTCTTGATGTGTATCCAATTTATACGCCTATGGACTCCACATTTAAGTTAGATCTTGAGAGTGGCGAAGTCTTTTGATGATATAAGGCCTTATCGGAGGTCAATAGGTAAACTGATTTATATTGCAGTTGCTTGTCACGATATTTTATATGTCGTTGGTGTGGTTAGTAAGTTCATGCACACCTTTCATAAGCTTCATTGGGAGGTTGTTTGTCGTATACTTCAATATCTGAAAGACACCCTTGAGAAAGGATTATTATATCGTCAATCATCATCCATAACTGTTGTTGATTTTTCTAAAGTTGACTAGACAAGTAATCATGGTAATTCTGACTATTATAAATTTATTGGTCGTAATTTTGTTACTTAGCGCAATAAAAAACAGAACATGGTTACATTTTCTAGTGCAAAGGCTAAGTATCGTGCTATGACATTTACTGCTTGTGCAATTTTATGGGTTCATTCTTTACTTCGGACTTGATGTGTCTTCTCCTATGAAGATACATTGTGACAACCAAACAGCTATCTTCATCGCAAGTAATTTGATATTTCATGGGCGTATCAAACATATTGAGGTGGATTGTCATTTTATTTGAGATCAATAGATACGAAAGGTGATCATCACTCCATTTATAAAGTCTAGTGATCAGTTGGGTGACATTCTGACTAAGCCATTAGTTCGACCTGTCTTTAATAGTTTATATTCAAAGCTGAACATTTTTTATCGTTATTGTCCAGCTTGAGGGGGAATGTTAGAGTTCTTAGTTTCTATATTATACATTAGCTAATTAGTGTAGGGTAATATTATAATTAGTGCATATTACTTAGTTATAAATAAGAGAGTGTAGTGCAACCTACCCTACATTACTAATTATGTATATCTTCTTTGCCTCTTCTCCTTCTCTCTTCCCTTTTTTCCTAACCCTAATATTATTATTTACTATTTCAACTGATCTAATTTTCTATTCCAAAAAAGATTTGTAAATTATAGAACATTATATTTGTGGGAATTGGTCATGTTATTGTGGTAATAAGCACTCTGAATTATATGAAGTTGGGTTAGGGTGTTACAACAAAGTGAGCCAACAACTTTTGCCTAAGAAAAGGCTCAAAAAAAAAAAAATTGAGCTTAGATATGAGAATATTGGACAAGCAATTACCATTCAGAACATGAAATCAGAAGGAAGATTAATGGCCTGAAAAAACTTCTATTAAAAAATTACTAAAATAAAAGAAGAATTTAGCAACATAATCAATGTTCCCATGCAGAAACCACGTGTGTAGAACATTTACATCAAGTTACAAAAAAGGATATTAGGATCTCCCAGTAAAATCCAATACATTTACTTACTCAATATGTCCGTCGGGAAATTCACAACCACCAACAAGGCCAGGTCCCCCACTTCGTGGATGCTGAAATGCATTATGGAAATCAAAAAGAATAGCTTCAACATAATAACTCACAACTCATTCGCATTGGATGTGGATAATACTCGCTGGAACTTAGAAAGAAACTTAAGCACCAAAAAACCAGTCTATTAGTTACCACACATCAACATTCATTATGTGTTCCTTGATTGTCTATCTGGAAATCTGTTTCATTTCTTCTCAAAGAGACATGGATAGAAATGAAACAGATTCCTTCTCCAATTCAGAATATCAACATTGCCTACAAGGAATCCAAAAGTCTTAATAGCTGAACTATGGTTGGTATGGGAAAGCCTGCACTTTGCCTGGTCTTCTATTTGGTTATCAAGAAAACGTGGAGTATAAATAGAATTAAGTTTTCAGTATTCAATTTTACATAATTCAGGTTCGGAGAAAATGCACCTTCTATCACCAAACTTGCACCATGTAGTTAACTTTGTTTAGTTGTTGCGGGCATATTGGAAGCACTATAAATCAACAGATTCATAAATTTTATTAGGGTAAATTACATTCACACCCCTTGAGTTTTGTCACTTAATCAAAAAGACCCCCTCAGGTATGAAATATTACACGGACACCCCTTATCGAAAACAGTCACCTAACAGCCCTAACAGAAGTTATAAAATGACTGTTGTACCCTTTGATGTAAAAAAAATAAAATCAACCTAACCCAAATCACATGTAACATACCCGAATCTAACCCGCCCTAACTCGACCCAATCCCGATACCCATAAATATCTTCCCTCTTTATTTCTCTTCATCGTTCCCTCTTGGTAAACTAGCTCCCTGCAAACCACCACCACCACCACCCCCGGGCGTCTGCCCAAGAACAACAACAATCACCCCGACCATAAAAACCTACATGACCAAACTTTATCTCTTGCTAATACTATATATATGTATAGAGAGCAAAAGAGAGAGTCAACACGTTCTTTATGTATTTGTTCTCTTTCACCCTTTTTTCTCAAATCCATTGTGTGTTGGATTGTCAGTGATGGTGTTTATGGGGTTTGTGATGGTGTTAATTTTTCACTTGTTAATTTGTTGAGTGCTACTGTTTATGATTGTTAATTTATAGATAAATCACAAATTAACATTCAATGGGTGTTTGATATTGTTTTGGGTGAAAATTTTTGTTTGCAATGACTGGTTGCTCGATCTTGTGGTTTAACTTGTGTTGAAAAACAGAAGTGGGGGTGCTGGTGGTTTTTGTAACAGGTAGTGGCAGTGGTTTCAGTCATAGTGGTGGCGGTGGTTTCTATCAAAGGTGGATATGTGGGTTACTGGGGGTTTTTAGGTGCTGGATTGGCAGTGGTTTTGGGAGCAGAAATTGCATGGTGGTTGCTAGAAATCATTTTAGGGGTTGGACATTGCACGGAGTAGTTAGAAATTGCATGGAAATTGCTGGCAGTGGTTTCGACTTGGGGGCTGGAACTGGCATGGAAGATGTTTTGGCATGAATTGTTTTCTTTTGGGTGTGATTTAACTTGGTTTAATGGTCTGACCAGAAAAGGAAAAAAAAATTGTTTTATAATATGGATGAAAAGGTTTTGTCTCATGGGTCTTGCAATGGGTAAGTTGGGAATTTTCTGTTAAAACTAGGCTAACATCACATAACTTTTGACAGTGCTTTAAACGGACTCTGACAATAGGGGAGTGTAGCAAGCATACAAACTTGAAGGGATTTCAATGTTATTTGTCAAATATGAAGGGGCCTAATTGATTAAGTGACAAACCTCAAGGGGTGTGAATGTAATTTACCCTTTTTATTATTTCCCTATTCTTTTCCAGGTAGTTACAGCATTAAGGATTTTAATCTGTATATAAATAAGTCAATGGTTTCTTAGTTCCAATTTTGCCCTTCTTACGCTATGATAAATTAAGAAGGAGCCTTTCTTGTTCTTTCGGATCTTATTATCATGAAGACAATGACATTGCCAATGAAGACAACAGCCTTTCTTGTAGGTAAGTGACAAGGATGCCTTTGAAAACTTTAGAATAGAGGAAGATGGGGGCAAGGAGAAACTGAAAGTGAAACTAAATCCTTTTCAACAACACACACACTCAACTTGCATACATCTTAACCTGAAACATTAATTATTCAATCCCTAATCATGGAAAATGTACATAGAATCTGATGTAAACTTCTCAAACTAACCTGTGAAGCCAACGAGAGGAACTTGTATTTATCCAATGCATATCGAACCAACGCTTCATTCTCACCGGGGTTTATCGTACATCTGAACATTGACAGCACTAATGTAAACTATATTCTTTTCTCACAGTTAGGCAAGAAATCATATGTAAAACAACACTATAAGAAAATTGGGCTTTTGAGTCAGATTTTTTTTTCGCTTTGGCTGAATGTCGTAGTAAATAATCAATTTTTTGCTTCAGTACTACCAGCCAAAGCAAATAATTGGGTATTTGCTTCGGAAAGTGTCCCGTCCCGACACCCAAAAAAAAAAAAAAAAAGGAGTATTTGCATCAGTAAGGTTTTGAAGCAAAAAGGGTAATTTAGTACAATGCCATTTTGATTTACTTAGTTCAAAACAACATCATTTTATCTATTACAAGGAATAAGGGTTTATAAGAAATTAAATTAAAACGACATCATTATGTAAGGCCGGATTAGTGCTCTGATACCAAGTTAAAGTTATAAAGATTATATTAGGGTTTGTAAGGAAGAAGAATAATGAGAAGCAAGAGGAAGACAGAAAAGAGAATAATTAGTGTGTAGTGGCTAGATTACCCTACACTCTCTATTTATAACTAAGTAATATTAAGGTAGTTACAATATTACCCTAGACCAATTAACTTATGTCTAATATAGAAACTATCTAACAAGTACTTTGTACTATATGACTATATATATCGTTGGGTGTAATTGTTTAATCTAATACATCACTCTTTTCCTAATCTCTTTTTCTCTTGTTCTCTCTTGTTCTCCAAAACTCTAACGCCATAATAATTCAACTGAAACAAAATATTATTAACAAAGTGTAAAATGTAACAAAAAACCAGCCAAAAGTGGGCAATTCGTTCAACGCAATGATAGGTCTGGATCTAGCAATTGTGATTGCATGAGAAAGGAATTTTCTTTTGGTTGTGCCTTATTAGGTTTAGGTACTAGAGTGGATCAATCTAGGAAGAAAGTATAGCTATATAGGTCGATACATTTAAAGATGGGACGGTCTAAAACAAATCAGGTCAAGTTGTTTTTAAAGAAACTTGGTGGACCCACAATTTAACAACTCAAAATGGGCAAACTGATCAAAAATTTATAACACAAGCAAACCTATAAAAACTAAGCATTAAATTCACGCCATGAGATTCAACAATCATCCTTACAAGATCTAGCCAGAAAATCTACCAACAATGAGGTCAATAATTTACCATTATCATGACACATCAAGGCATGTATAATGGCCGTTGGATTCTCCCAATATTTTTCAATGTTGCTGGTAACCAAAATATTTAAACTTGAAGTACCCTTATCCCAACTGCAAGATTTGCCTATGCATATCAAGCTGCAGAATCTACTTAATTGATTGCCATCTCATCAAACCTATCAATGTCATGTATTTTCTTACTACCTCAATCCCATGAGCCATGCATACTATTTCTCATTCAGACGCGAGAATCAACATTCACTTATCAACCAACATTAACGTGACTATTGGTCATTCTTGGATCTAAAAGCATACAACTTCAATCGAATTGCATTACACACCATGCATTGTTAACATTGATGTGTATGGACACTACATAACCGAGATAAAACCACACCAAAAAGGTCATCCAATAATTAGAACTATGTGATGAATATTATGTCCTAAATCCTTATCAATTGCCCCTGTTGATTGTGCACACTGCCCAGAATGGTTTCACATCTAAACAATGGATTAGAAGGAACACATTTGAAAGATAACTGCATTGAAGGATGGATTGATCAATCCTATTGTGTTTACATCTCAAATTGGGAAAGACAAAGGCCACAATAAGAAATTAATGCAATCAATAAGAAATGATCCCAGGCCTCAAGGCGTGTCACCAAAACGAAGACATATATGCCCACTTAGTCATTTAAAATGGCATAGAGAGAATACAATTTTGCTTTTTTTCTGAGATCAGAATAAGAGCAAAGAAAATAATAGCAGTGGAAAATTTATATAAACTTTATATTAAGCAAAAAGATCAAACAGATAAAGTGGTTGGCAATGCTTACTGACGTGGAATACACAATAATTCCACCAGGGCGAACCAGCTGAACAGCCACGTCAAACATTCGCCTTTGATACTTCGCATGGCTCCTTAACGATTCTATTGTTACCTATGTAAAACAACATACGGTATTTGGCTCCATCAGTTAGTTGACTACAGATACTGCAAGTCACAGGCAAATGTCCGATAGCATCTGAGTTGTATAAATGATAAACAATTCTGAATCTACGAAAGTCTCAACATTTTGCACTAATCTGAAAAAAAGCCTCAAGATTTTCCATCCATAAACAATGTTGATTGTATTGTATGATACACAGTACGTATCATACGATACATTTCGAGTATAGAGAAAAAATGATACCACTCAGTAGAATACGTGATATGTTCTGGCACAGTGAAAAAACGATATATGTAGCAACTTTGTTTTCCATATTTTTTTTACTCTATATATTGAAACAACGTCATTTCCCAAGGCTATCTTTGTTTCTAAAACAGTGAAATAATACCATTTCCTACAAGTTATTTTTTTCCCTTATAGGTTCGATCCCAATCATACGATGCCCGTGATCGTTTTCTTCTTCTCATGCTATCCTCTTCTGCTTCTAAATCTTTTTATTGAAATTGATGAAACCCTATCTATATTTCGAACTCTATTGTGAAAATGAAGGGTTGTTCGTTGATCTCTATCTCAAAAACTCATCGCACAAAATAATAATTGAGTTGAAATGATATTTACATTGTTTTCGACACAATATACTTATAGGTATATATAATTGTTAATACACTTTGAAACTATATATTTATAAATTATAAGTATGCTACAATACACGATATATTGGATTTGAAAACTAATAAGCATTGTGATACATGTTTTGACAACCTTGGCCATAAACTCAATCTTGGAAACAAATACCAACATCCTTTAAGTTGGCAATAGTAAGAATAGATGCCACCCCGAGTTCTCATCAAAAGAAATAATGGTCAACTTGAAAGCACCAATCCATGATACATAGGTCAGTTGTTAGTCTTGTCCTATGAAGCACGGATACGGATACGATACGACAAAATCTAAAAAAGTAGGACACGGATATGGTCAAGATATGGCTATAAAAAAATATATTTGATATNATGGAATACGGATACGATACGACAAAATCTAAAAAGTAGGACACGGATATGGTCAAGATATGGCTATAAAAAAATATATTTGATATTTTTATTATTTTCAATCAACTTAACATTTATATATTTTGGTAGTTCTTTCACACAATAAGGGAAATTAGTAATTCTTTTCAATTTCACGAAAATATATATCGCATCACTACGGTATATTCACAAAGTGAAGTGATTAATTAAAAAAATCAAATCTAATATTTAATGAGTTAGTTTATTTAAAAGTAATTTTTGCTAAGACTATAATGTAATAGATTTATTTTATGCTCTTTTGACTTGAAATTGTAGATAATACTTAAAAAATACTCATGTACCTTTGAAGTAATATGAATTTGTGTTAATGTATTCTATGGTATGTGAATTCGAAAGAAAATGTTAAAAATTCAACTCATAAATTATATAAGTTGCTTGAACACAAAAGTATCTGTGAAATATCCTAATATTTAATNGAGAATTTGAAAGAAAATGTTAAAAATTCAACTCAGAAATTATATAAGTTGCTTGAACACAAAAGTATCTGTGAAATATCCTAATATTTAATTATTATTGGATATGTAGGAGGTGTATACAATACGTATTCTCGAGTATATATAACGAGTATCATATCCGATACGGTACGCCGGCCTCAATGAAATATCCGTGCTTCACAGGTCTTGTCCTATATTAGCCACTAGCCATAAAAAAAAAATAACAAAAAAAATGTTAATAGTGCAATAAAACAATCACTTTTTCAATTTACAAATCTTATTGTAAAAACCCAACAANCAGTATCCGATACGGTACGCCGGCCTCAACGAAATATCCGTGCTTCACAGGTCTTGTCCTATATTAGCCACTAGCCATAAAAAAAGAATAACAAAAAAAATGTTAATAGTGCAATAAAACAATCACTTTTTCAATTTACAAATCTTATTGTAAAAACCCAACAAGACACTAGGAATCAAAAAAGTTTCACATTCTAAAAATAGAAACAAGCGGTAACACAAGACTTATTGTTACTTTATTCCATTCAATTTAAATCAGATTCAATGCAGGATAGAAAGAAATTGATAAACAAGCATTTTTTTTAGAACAATCAAATTTGATATAAAAATTCTGTGCTTTTCAGTGTTCCCAATCTCAAATCATAGGTATTTCTAATACATGCGCCTCTACAATAGATTGCGAGGATGCACCATTGATTTGGCCCCACTTCGAGGATCACCACACAAATTCTAAGATGTTAGATTTTTTTGTCGGTTACAATGGTATAACCACCTTATCGCAAGTTAAATTTGCAATCCTTTGTAGCAGGAGTTCTCGNCGAGGATGCACCATTGATTTGGCCCCACTTCGAGGATCACCACACAAACTCTAAGATGTTAGATTTTTTTGTCGGTTACAATGGTATAACCACCTTATCGCAAGTTAAATTTGCAATCCTTTGTAGCAGGAGTTCTCGAAATAAAGGGAAGACTATACTACCCCCAGTGCTAAACAAATATAAGTACAATCTTATCACTCCTCTCAAACTCATGATGTGACAACAAGAAGTATCGAGGGCTTCGCAATAAAAAAAAAAACAAAAACACAACATGGTGTGAGATCCAACTGCATAATAGAACAAACATGGAAATATTCCCANAATGCTAAATAAATATAAGTACAATCTTATCACTCCTCTCAAACTCATGATGTGACAACAAGAAGCATCGAGGGCTTCGCAATAAAAAAAAAAACAAAAACACAACATGGTGTGAGATCCAACTGCATAATAGAACAAACATGGAAATATTCCCNAGTGCTAAACAAATATAAGTACAATCTTATCACTCCTCTCAAACTCATGATGTGACAACAAGAAGTATCGAGGGCTTCGCAATAAAAAAAAAAACAAAAACACAACATGGTGTGAGATCCAACTGCATAATAGAACAAACATGGAAATATTCCCAAGATGGAGATGGTGGCACACAAAATGACACCCCATCTCAATATGTTGAGTCACCCATGGAAAAATAGAGTTGTGTAAGCAAGAGTTGGTGGCTCATAACATGACAATTCATTTCAATATGCTTAGTTCACTCATAAAAAACAAATTATGTACAATCCGAATGGTATTTTGTTGCCACACTATATAGCAGCTGATGCTGAAAATGAAATGCCAAGATCAACAAGCAACCCACGCAACCAAACTATCTCTAACATAGTAGTAGCCATAGCACAAGATTCAACTGCAACCATGATTTGTCGGATAAAAGGTGCTGGGTCATTACCCATTGGGTCCTTTCCCATCTAAGTCCTTTTTTAAGTCATTGATTGATGATCCTTCTAGTCCTATATTTTATATTTTTATTTGACATTGAAGATTTGGAAGGCCAAAATTCCTCTCAAAGTACAAGTTTGTGCATAGGAAATTGCTCATGGAAGATTAATACATATGATGTTCTGCAAAGGAGAGGGCCTTACACAAATCTGTGCCCATAATGGTGCTCATGTGTTGGGCAAGTTGCGAAAGTGTGGACCATTTGTTTTTGTTAAACAACCATCCACTCCAAAAACTTAAGTTACTAGAGAATGTGTAGCTTAAATATTTATATTTCAACATGCCCCCTCACGTGCAAACTAGATTTTGAGCCTAAAACGTGAAAATATTTTTAATAATTAGGGTGGCGGCGATATTCGAATAGACGACTTCCTTCTCTGATATCATGTTAAACAACCATTTACTCCAAAAATTTAAGTTATTGAAACAGTTGTAACTTAAGAATTTAAACTTCAACAGTTATTACATTTGTATTATTGCATTGTACTTTGTGGAACAAGTTTGACTTGGTTAGCTAGTATTGGATAGTCCCACATTTGTTTTCATTAATGTTTTGTGTGGATTTTAAAGATTTGGGTGGAAGAGAAAGGAGTAATATCATTTGGCATTGTCCAATTACACAAAATGCTTGGGTAGTTTGGTTGGCCAAAGTTAGATATTGAGATCACTTGGGTTTGGAGGCTAAGATACAAAGAATTAGAGAGGTGGTAAGTGAGTTCAATCTTACACTCAACATCCTATTTAAAACCTTGTCATAGTCACTTTCACCTTCCTATCATCCTTCCGTCTACTCCATCTTTTGTATCTCTTTCACAAAATTGGACGGATGTCTTGGCAGACTGTAAGTGAAAGGCAGCTATGGCAGAGGAAATAAGAGCTCCCAAAAAGAATAACACATGGGAACATGTGGAGAGGTATAAAACAAGATTGGTGGCCAAGGATTTTACCCAAACCTATGACATTGATCACCAAGAAACATTCGCACAAATAGCCAAGATGAATTCCATCAAAGTACTGATTTCTTTGGCAACAAATTTGGGATGGTCTCTACACCGGTTAAATGTGAAAAATGTCCCCCTTCATGGTGATTTGGAAAATGAAGCGTATATGGAACGGGGTTACCAGAAAACGTATGACCCCCTACGAGCCTCGATCTGGGTTGCACGACCCCAAACGTGGGTCGTTCACGACCTGGATCACTCAAATTTCCGACCCCTATCAAATCAATTACTAAATCAAAACTCAGAATCTCAGACTCAGATCCCCAATACAAGCCCTAAACCCATATCAAATAAAATCATTTTAAATATCAAAAATTGCACAGATTAAGCTATAATAGGCCAAACCGAGTGAAGAATGAAGATTAGGTTATATACCCGATGGAACCCACAGTTTTTTTGATCGCGCTCTATGTTGGTAATCCTAGTTCAATCAATTGCCAGTCGACAGTCAATTGCGTTCGTTTGCTTCGATCAACAGTCGCCAGTGAACCCTACTTCCTGTTGGGTTCCCATCAAAGACTGGTTCAAAACTTCAAATTTAGTGTGGTTCCCATTGAAGAGAGTTTGGAAATTCGCATCGCAAAT